ATCCTCCTTGACTTGATCATTTTAATCAATTTTGGCGAAGAGTACAAGTTATGAAGCTCCTCAGTATATAATTTTCTCCAACCTCCTATTATTTCATTCCCCTTCGGATCAAATATTCTCCTCAGCACCCTGTTCTCAAAATTCCTCAGTTTATGTTCCTCCCTTGATGTCGGAGACCGAGTTTCATACCCATACGAAGACCTAACTGATTGTAATTGATAGAATATAATGTTGGGTTATTCATATTTGATAACAACAAGGAAAATAGAGCTTAGTCATTTCTGCTACGTTGAATTTCATACTAAAGCAAAGTATCCACCAAACAGAGCCTTTGAGTAATTTAATGTTTTATGTAACTCAGGCTTGCAGAGGAAAATTCTTTTCACCTAAAATGTTTCATGGACCTACTGTTGATAGGCCGACATAATGAAATTATTGTGAGAATATTGTCACGTGATCTGAGTGAATATAGACTGTGTATGGATTGGTAATCGGATATACGGGACTCTCTGATAAAGCCCGTGACTAAAGTTTATGAGTGTAAGAACTTAACAAGAGTATATAAATAAAAAGGGTCATTTTGTTAACAAATTAATAATTCAACTACAACAGCGTGGGTTGGCCTGTAGGCTTTAGAATTTAAGGCTGTGATTGCTCAAAATTACCTAAAGAAATTATCTAAAACCTTTGGTACGCAGTTAAATAAGGAATCTGATGATGTGAAACCTTTGCTACATTCTTTCTTGGAAAATGATGGCAGGAATAAACCGACTGAATTAATTTTAATCTCTGTGTGGCTGACAAACGCAGTCTACTTGATTTAATATGCTTGCTATCACTACTAAACACACGCAAGCTCTTGGATGTAAGACTAACAGTACTTAACCTAAACGCTGGCCTGTTAAATTTGTTGGATTTACCTCTAACACCACCAAATAAATATATGCTGTTGAATTTAACACTAATGCAATAAATAAATGTATTCTGTTGGATTTAACACTAACAATACTAGGCCTAACCATATGTATTGTACTTCTTTTGGCTTATTTTGGACTTCACCCATCGTCCGGCATATAAAAGACAAAAAACCACGACGTTTCGGAGACTGGATCTGTCTCCGTCTTCAGGTGGATAGGGAAGGTTTAACATACTCAGTTGGGCCCCTTAGAAAGAGCTAGTCTCAATCACTGGACAAACCTTGATCTGTAGAAACAACCTATGAACAACCGACAACCGGTTCCATCAATACATATGTATTGTGTTGGATTTAACACTAACAGTACTAGGCCTAACCATATGTATTGTGTTGGATTTAACACTAACAGTACTAGGCCTAACTATATGCAGTTTGTTAGATTTAACACTGACAGCATTAGGCCTAACCGTATGCAGTTTGTTGGATTTAACACTAAGAGTATTAGGCCTAACCATATGTATTGTGTTGGATTTAACAGTAACAGTACTAGGTTTAACCATATGTATTCTGTTGGATTTAACACTAACAGTACTAGGTTTAACCATATATATTGTGTTGGATTTAACACTAACAGTACTAGGTTTAACCATATGTATTGTGTTGGATTTAACACTAATAGTACTAGGCTTAACCGTATGTATTGTGTTGGATTTAACACTAACACCATTAGGGTCTCGAGGAACGAAACTGTTGTATCTTCACATACTGACACTGAAAATATGATCCTCTTCAAGAAACTCATCTTAGAATAGTGTAAGCAGGTAAACCACTTTCAGAAGTTCTGATGCATGTTTATCTTCGTCTTAAAAGGCCTACACAATAACGAATTCGATGACCTAACAGCAATTAGGCATGAATTTATTTGTAGATTCTAAAGTATTTTGACGATGGTGTATAAGGCTCAGAATTACCGGGTTTTTGGACCTTGTCCATCGTCTGGTACTTTAAAAACAGAGAATACAACGTTTCGGAAACTGGATCTGTTTCCATCCTCAGGTGAGGGATGGGTGACACTTGCTCTGTTGGGTCCCCTAGAAAGAGCTAATCAGTCCGTTGATTGGGGTTAGCTCTTTCTAACGGAGCGAACAGAATAAATGTCTCCAACCCTCTCACTTGAGGACGGAAACAGATCCAGTTTCCGAAACGTTGTGTTCGCTGTTTTTTAAAATATTCGTACCAGATGATGGACAAAATCCAAGACCCAGTAATCCTGAACGGATTTATTTGCGAAATATTTTGAGAGCTTAAAAGTTTGTCACAGACCATAATGCACCAGCAGCTTCGACTCTTTGACGTTTTAGAGATCAGGGAAACTTTTGCGTAGGGAAAGTTAAATTTCGAACCGATTTAAATGCAACGAAATTTCCACTCAGATCCATGATATGACACTCACTAAGCTTAATATCCTGATTAATTTTTCTGTTATATTATTATTATTATTATTATCTAGTTCCACCGACATCGCTGCAACATAGTTCGAAGCCTCTAAACATTCGGAAGACACATCCACATTCAGGCGCCTGTGCTAATAACGTATTTCATCAAAGTTAATGTTTAGTGTATAGTATACTCTTTAATAATATTAAATTATTTCATTGTAGCTGTAATTGTATTTGCATTGTATTCATTAGGCATGTACCGTCTTCGCTCCCTTGGAAACCGGGATCGTAGGTTCGAATCTCACTCAGGGCATGGATGTTTAATTTGTTTCTGTGCGTTTTTCTGTGTTTGTGTACAAGTAGAGGCCTTGTGACGAGCTGATCACCCGTCCAAGGAGTCCTACCGAATGTGTAAGAGCTAGAAAAACCGAAGTGAACGGAGAAGTTCATGGAGGTAGGCCTAGGCCCACTGGGGCTGTAGTGCCAAGGGAAAAAAAATTGTATTCATTATGTGTAGGGTGTCCTTTATTGCTGTTGTAGTTCTGGGTGCTGTGTTTTGTTTGAATGTGGTGTGTTATTTTGTGTGATATGTTTTATTTGTGTGTTGTGTCTTGTTGTAGTACCGCTGCCACCCTGTAAAAACCAATTTGCAGTGAAAAAAATAATAAAAAAATATTACTCATGGAACTGAGTGCTTCTTGAAGAGCCACCAATTCTGCAGCTACTCAGAAATTTTCTACAATTTTATGGAACTCGAAAGTTCATTACCGTGTTCACAATAGCCCTCCACTGATCGATAACCTGAGCCAGATCAATCTAATCTATACCATCCCAACCTATCTCTCTGAGATGAATTTTAATATTGTCCACCCACCTACGCCAAGGTCTTCACAAGGGTCTCTTTCCTTCTGACTTTCCCACCAATACTCTGTATGCATTCCTCTTCTCCCTCATTTGTGCTACATGCCCTAATAATAATAATAATAATAATAATAATAATAATAATAATAATAATAATAATAATAATAATAATAATAATATAATAACGTACAGGCAGAAGCATACAATATCATTGGCTAAAATAGACACAGAAATAAAGTAGGCCTATGCACGAGATCATGGTTAAATATATATATTTTGTCGATATTATTTTTAAAATATTTCGTTTTTGAGGAAGATGTCAGTAACTAATAGCCTACCGCACTGGGCAAAATTGTTCATGGTGTTTTTAGGTTTGGGGGAGGGGCGGTGTTTAGATCACTCAGTCGTTGTACCTATTACTAAGATAACTTTAATTGATTAAATTTCTGATATTCATATAATAATTGACAAGTAAGGGACGAAATATTCCAAGTAACCTAACCTAAATAAATATTAGGCCATATATAATTTCGTTATATTAATTTGTAACTTAAATTCCAAATCCGAAATAAAAAGCTGTTGAAAATTATTTTTCGGTTAACACGCAGACAGGTGAACACACTCAACAGTCGTAAGGCAAAGCTTAAATTTGCATAAATAAGATAAAAATTACATGCAATTTGTAATGTAATGTAAGAAATACTGTATAAATATACCACACATTTTAACTGTTTAAAGCCCAGTGGTTTCTATATGCACCACCTGCTTCAATATACTAAAACTCTGCGCTCTGTCTACAAAGTGTGTTTATGTGTTTCGTACGTTTCTCACAGCAAATATCAACTGTTTGCCTAAACAGCATTGACTGTCCGCTCTCTGCAGCTGAGACGTAATGTGTTTCCAGTGAGGTACGAACTGAATTCTTATGTATTATTTAGAGCAATTATTTCAAGGTTCAACTAAATTATTAAAATGGATAATCGAATTTGCTCTATTTTTGCTATGAATGTATTATCCTTGAAATCTGTAGCCTTGTTTTGTAGACCTAAATTAGAGAAGTTGTTTCAGTAATGTAATTGCAGAAATATCGTTACAGAATAATTACTTAATGCCGTGTTCATTAGACAACGCCTAAGGTATGACAGTCAATTCCATATTATATAAGCTAACTAGTACGTCCTTTCTTACTCTCGTCTGGCCCTTGTTTAGCGCTCTCCCGGCAATTAGCACCCGGTGTCACTTCATGTGGGATTTGTGTCAAAGTGGCATAAGAAGATCGGTTTCCCCTACCAATTTATATTCCACCAAACTGCTCTCTTACTTTCATATACCATTCGGAGATGGTTAGTTTCTTGGAGTGGGGTAAGGCTGAGACCACTTGGAGGTACCGTCTATTATACCAGCCGCGGATGATAGATGATGAGTGTGGAGCAGTCGGTGGAATGAGAATTGGCAGGGGAAACCGAAGTACTAGGAGAAAACCTACCCAAATGACACTTTATCAATCAAAATCCCACATGACCTGACCTGGGCTCGAATCCTCACCGCCGCATGAGTTACTGCACGGTTAAGGGAGTCAGCTGATACCATAAATAAGAAATAGGTGTGAAAGACTTGTTAACAGTTCAGCTAAGACATACGAGAAAAGTCATCCACGTCTGACACCAAATGTAACCTTTGTGGAGTTGGAGCGCGGGACAAAAAGGAGACGTTGTTTGCGCCGGAAACCGAACGAAACAAAGCTGTGATAAGCTGCTGTTAGTTAAATGGATTCATGAGGTTACCTTTCTTAGGTGACGCTCCCCCAGACGCGCTATCGTCGCTCAGTTGCAGCACCCTCCTTCTGATGACGCTGCCGGTTCCCAGATCCACGGGCCCTCCCGCTTCGTGCTGCCGATTGTTTGCTCCGACAACAGACGCTGCCAGAGATGCGAACCTGGGACTCAATGCTGCAGCTCCGTGATGATGCAGGAACCCAGGTGGTACGGCAAACCCGGCGAGACCCATGGGGAATCCCCCAGTCGCCCCACCGCTCCGAGATGTTGCAAAATGTGTTGACGCGTGGAAAAACGGAGGCATGACAGGAGGCCTCGTTAAACAAGCACTGCCCCCAGTGGCGGCTGCTGCAGCGGCAGCGTAGAGTTGTAACGGGGGTGGTAACCCTCCCGTCTCCAATACCATAGTATTCTAATACACAGCCGCCCCTTTCATAGAAAGGGCTCCAACAGTAAACCTTGCAGCACCCTTATAGAAAAATTTCCTCACGAAAATGAACCGTGCAGACTATTCGGTCGTGCTTTGCGTTCTGGAGAAGTGCTTCTTCACAGATGATCATCAGGACCAAAGTTAATCGGTTACTTCTGCTGGACACCTCCATCAGAACAATTTTCTACAGTTCCCTGACAAATTCTCTTCCATTTTCGACATCTTTGGTTTCTGTGTGCGTCTAATTGTGACCAGAAATCGATTTTATCTCCTTTAGCTTCTGCCTCATTAGCAAGTAAATATATTTGTCGCGTACATTCATACAGATTTCTTCTTTAAATACAAAAACTTATTTCCAGTTGCGTTGCTTGTCTTTCTCAAAGTTATCAGTAGAGTTAATAGTCACTTAAACATAATCTACTGTTTTCTAATTTTCACAGTTACTTACCTCAAATAGGCTCAATGTAAGTAACACCTTAAATTATTCTTGGAGTCCAGTAAAACTGATGTCTTTAACGATAACAATGTCACGAAGATAACTAATTGTTGGTAACTTCATTGCGTCTTTAAACTCGCGTCGTTAACTCGCATAAGTTCTCTGGACATTAGAAAATCATCCACACGCGTAACATATCAGCACTTGAAATGTTTTTGTTTCTGATTTTCATTTATTTATAACATTTCTCTTGCAATTAGCTAACGTTTTCTTTTTTAAACAGTACCAACTGGAAACACTGAATAATTCGTCATCGCCAGCTGAAGATTTGCGTTGAGTTGGTATTTAATTCAGTTAATTGTTGTATTAATCAAAAGCTTTTTTTTTTTTTGGAGCTGGTAAATTTTTGTTGTTGAAATATCTCGAAAGTCATTGGAAAAACAGTTTTCCCCCACATTCACACTATGCCAAACAGACCGTCATTTTCACTGACTTCCGAACAGCCTTTGATACTCCACTGTTCTCTGACATCAGACACTTCGCTGGCTAATGACGACAGAGGGAGGGGAGTATGCCATCCCTCCCCTCTCCTACCTCAACCATCCAACCGTCACGGCTCCCCACTCCTTGGTCTTGTATTCCCTCTCCTTTGACTCGCTATCAGGAATCCCTGCGCTGCTATTGGACATTTCGATAACCTCTCCCATTATTACGACTCCACCTACTTATGTTTAGGTTTTCATAACAATTGCAAACTCCGCCCAATGGATTTCTAGTTCTGTCTCTCCTCGCGTTTAGTTTTGACAGGGTACTAAGTAGAAATCAAATTAAAGGGGCAGCTTTCCTTGTAAATATTTCTCTTTTTATGATGCGAGTGGAGTGAGAAGGAGGGGGAGAAGGGGAAATTGTTCATTCAATTAAGGGCGGGGATAAGTGTTGAAAATTGATGACACGTAGGAGGGGCTGGAAGTGATGGCTTCCAATTTGCTTTTTATGTTATTTCTGAAATAAAGAAACAATGCAACTCATTTCTAAGTTTATAAAAACGTTAAAGATGATGATGACAACCTCGAAGCGATGAAATCTTCACACGCGGTAAGCTCCATGTTTTCACACGTGTTCCTTAACCTCCAGTTTGAAATGTAGGAACACGAACCAGCCTGTCACACGAACACCTCTAGAACGTATCACAGAATTTAAGTTAGTTTCGTCAGTTTCCAGCCTGCGTGCTGACACATGTAACTTTCATACCTACAACAATGTTGTCTTCTGGGATATAAGGCATGTAATCCGTTGAAAGCCAACCGACGTTTCGGAGAAACATGTCACCTCCATCATCATTGTCGTTGTATAAACCAAACAAGAAAGCAGCAGAACTTGTCAACAATTTTATGCTTTTTTTCTTTCTTGGCTTAACCTTGAACCCTGAAGATGGGGGTGACATGTTCTTCCGAAACGTCTGTTGACTACCGAAGGACCAGATTCCGTTACTTCCCAGAAAATGGGACACTTCTTTGTTACCAACGAGAAAAACTCAAATCCTACAAGTGTGGAATGTTTATTAAGTCGAACTGACCCCACAGGTGAAGCACAGAGAGCAAGGTGGGACTCTAGCAGGATTGTATTGGCGGAGGGTCACAGACATAAAGTAGTGTCTAGGATTTCTTCCTTTTCGGATCACCTGCAATAATTATGAGAAGGTTTCTGTAGAGAGGTTTGGTAGAAAGAAATGTATCCCTGTACTTAAATATGTAATTAAGCACCATGCTATGAAAACTTATTGGTGAGTGAAGGTATAGCTCCATAGTTCTTGACCTAGACACTAGATGGATGTGAGTGGTGAGCTTCACGCCCTGGTCACTTGACCCCCGAAAGAAAAGCCCATGGTACCCATTGGATAGGAGTCTGGGTGGGCCCCAAAGTCTGTCTGGACGATGTGGAGAAGAGAAAAGTCATTTGACCCTGTCGGAAATCGAACTCCGGTCGTCCAGTCCATAGCATAGTCGCTGTACCGACTGAGCCATCCCGGAACCTAGAAATCTGTAGTAGGCATACGCTAGCGCAGCTGTCTCCTAATAGGCCCTGTATCATCTCTCACAAGCCAATGCAGCATTAATATTATGATAGGCCTATATAGGCTACTCCAGAACTTTAGGCTTCTCTACCATTCCGTAACATAATTGCGAATTTCGTTGTTATTTCTTTAGTTGAAAAACGGCGTACACGGAATTACTTGTACAGATTGTCCGAACCCCTCCTGTAAAGTGAGCCGGGATAGCGTATTCGGCACAGCGACTGGCTACGGGCTGGACGACCGAAGGTTCGGAGTTCGAGTTTCTGTAGGGTCAAGAATTTTATCTTCTCCATGTCATCCATACAGGCTCTGTGGTCCACCCAACCTCTTATCTAATTTATATCGGAGGCTATTTCTCCGTGGGTAAAGCGGCCAGGGCGTGAAGCTGATCAGTCACCTCCAGCTAGTGCCGAGGTCAAGAAAATGTGGATCTATACATACTCTCCTTCGCACGTCTTCATGGCGTAGTGCTTAATTAGTTAAGCACAGGGACAACTTTACCTTACTCTTGCTGTAGGATAAAGACGGCCTTCTCAACCTATTGCTAAATGTCGAAGCCGAGTCTGCCCACTTACCTATTTCCGTAGATCTTCATTCAGTAGATCTATTACAAAAGTCTATTATTATTTTCATTAGTTAAAATTTTTAAGAGGAATTTATATTCTGCCTACATGAAATTTATAGGACATAACCTCTAATTTTCTCACTGTCTCCAACTTTCCAAATTTGTAATTAGAAGCACCATTTCTTACGTAGCTTAATGTCTGAATATAGGCCATTTAGATCTCTAAGAGATCCTCACAGATCTCCCAAATTTCATGTTCCTAGCTTTGTATTTTGCCGATCACAGTGGCTGCTTCGTTTAAGGCATGAATTGTGTTCGCTCTTTCGAACGCTGGGATCGTGAGTTCAAATCCTACTTAATGCACAGATGTCTGAGTGTGTTTATTCTGTGTGTAGGTAGCAGCCTTGCGGCGGACTGATCCCCCGTCGAAGGGGTCCTACCGACTGTGTATAGGGTTAAGAAACTGAAAAAGCCGCCAAGTTCCAACAGAGGAATGTAGAGCCATAGACAGACAGACGTATAGTTGCATTGGTTTCTTAATTACCTTCCTAAACCGGAAAGCAGGAGGAACCACACCACGTTGCTATTTTTAAAATTCTGCTGGAATATTATTTAAATACAAGTTACGTATTTTTTCAAGGTCAATTGTGATAACTTAGGTAATACTGCTAACTATAGCGACGAAGCTACGCGATGGACGACCGAGGAATTGGGGTTCGGTTCCAGTCAGAAACGAAAGATTTCTCAACAGGCTCAAACATGCTTTGGAGCCCAACGAGCCTCCTGCCCACCGGATAGCGAGGGCTATTTTGTTGGGGGTAAAGCGACCCGGATGTAAAACAGACCACTCACTTCCATCTAGTGCCGTTTGGGTGTTGATGGTGTGGTGAACAGTTGATCACTGCAGCCACTGTGTAACTGCTGCAGTGGAAGGGAACACAAGAGCAGTTCAGTGCAGCGTGGCGAATAGCGGAAGGAAGGAAGATTTACAAAGAGGCCTATAGGCTTATATATATATATTATTAACGTAATTCATGTAACGGTGTAGGCCTAAAGCAGCAAGACAAAGCTGAATTAGACACTGCTTCCATTATTTTGAACAGATAAAAGCGGCTTATGAAACCAGTTTGCTGTCTGTCTGTTTATCCTTTCTGTGCAAAAGGTAAAGCTATCCCTGTAACAAGCCGCGGATGCCCACAGTGTTGTGAGACGTCGAGGCTCCCACAATCGGCCCATAGATGGCGGAAAGTTTGTCAGATTTACGCGTCGGCCGCCCTATACCCCCAGGAAGATTCCTAGTACTCATTTGTGTTAGAGGCTGAGTCGATCCCATGGCCATAATGCAGCTGGAAAGATTAGGTCAATTGAAAAATCTAACGATCTCATCGGTAATCGAACCCGCGACCTCACAGCTTGTAGTACAGTGCCTCAATCAGCTACGCTACCGCGTTCACGTCTTTCTGGGTATCTTTCCCTAAAACTTGTTACGAGCATTTTTGTTGTCTTTGTGTCTTTGTATCCCTTACTATTTTTTTTTTGTTTCCTATACGGTCCGTGTCGTATATAAAGAAAATATGCTATTAGTTCTTCCCAGGTTTTGTTCGTTGTACATGTTATATTTTGAATAAATAAATTAACTGATGTAGATCTGTAGTCCTTTATAACCTATATGACTGCTTTGCGTCGGTATTTCCGTTCTGCCTAATCCTCCTCCTAAGTTTCTCACAGTGGCCGCGCGGTCTAAGGCATGGACTATCTTCTCTCGCTCGGAAGCTGGGATCGTGGATTCGAATCCCATTCAAGGCATTGGTGTCTGTTTTCGTTTATTCTGTGTTTGTGTTGTCCTGTATTTAGGTAGATACCTAGCTACGGGCTGATCCCCCGTCCAAGGAGTTCTACCGCCTGTGAAAAAATGATTACGGAACTGAATAAGAGGCCATGACCCTAAATGGGCTGGAAGAGCCATTGAAAAAAAAATCCTGCTCTTAAAGCAGCAACAAACTGGATTCGATCTGTTAAAATCGGAAGTGCAACAGTTATGCCTAATCCCAAATGGACATATTCCCTTTCTACTTGCAGACAGACCAGTTGCAGTTTATCCAGTATCGCGTTATGAAAATCCCTATACGCAATACACGCAGTGGCCTCCTATATTTCCTTTTATAAAGCCCCTTTCTTGCTTCTTTTTCTCCTTCTCGGTGCTCGCGCGATTTCTCTCGCAGTTCACGTGAACTTCTTGACTGAGCGCATCGGATGATTGATCTAGGGCACGTGACGGCACTAGCAGAGCAAGCCACGGTGTACTGAACACAGCGCCGGAACTTATCGGAAAAATATGCCTCTTCTTCATGTATATATTATATTAGGCACTGCTTAGCTTTCAGAAACAGTCTACAGCATACAAAAAACTACAGGCTATAACACGTGGGCCATCTTTCAATGATTTCAATACAGATAAATTGTTATTCTTTAATTGCTAGTGGGGTGGGACTAAGTCCCTTGTACTGCGGCCACTTCTGGCCTATTGTACCAGCCCAAGATGATAGGTGATGGTGATTGTGGAGCAATTGGTGGAATGAAGATTGGCAAGGGAAACCGAAGTACTCGGAGAAAACCTGCCCCAGCGCCACTTTGTCCGCCACAAATCCCACTTTACCAGACCCGGGATCGAACCCGGGCCGCCGCGGTGGGAACCCAGCGACTAACAGCTTGAGTTATGGCGCGGCCTTTTTTGGCCTTTTAATGGCATATGCTACACGTTTTGTTTCTGTCTAGCAATGTGTGGTTCGCGAGAATATTAAAATTGCATCTCAGTTCCTGTAATCCCTTTTGTCTTCCCGTCTGCTGTTCAAAAACATAAAAATTA